GAGCGCCTTCAAGCTGTAAACCCTGGTCCTAGAAGGAAGCTCTTCCTTGTCCTTGTGCTGGGAGACAGAGGAGGCTGCCAGGTCATGAATATGTCCCTTCTCACCCCTGCTCTCTAAGCAGGTGAAAGTCACTCTTCCACTCCAAACTTCTGGGAGTTTACGCTTTATAGTATTCTCTAAAGCAATCTTTGTATAGATTTGTGTATATAGTCTACTCTTTATCACCTTGAATTAATCCTCAATCCAGCTGCCAGAGTAATCTTTTCAAACTCAAATCAGATCCAGACATTCCTATGGTAAAACCCTTAATGAGAAAAATTAACAGAATCTTGAACATGGCCTTTCCGACCCTGCATGGCCTCTTGTCCCTTCTCAGAATAGATTACAGTGTCTGCCCTTTGCTGATTGACTTGATATCTTATTTATATCTAGTTTTATCAAATTAAAAATATAGCCTGGAAGCTTGTTGTAATCAAAGCTGAACTACCTGCTTTGGCACATAGCTAAGAAATGCTTTCTACTTGTAACCACCACATGTATGTTGACACACCATGTCACTAAAAATGCCTGTATATTGAAATAAAATTAGATCCGAACTGAAATGGGTGAAGGCGACTTGAGTATCCAAGGCTCCAAGAATCTCAGGAAGTTTACTATGAAGAAAACACACCACAGGTGTAATTTCCTTATTGGAGGCAAGGAGAAGCTAATATCTTGAGAATGATGAAAGGAAAAATACCTTTTCACATGCTAGACATTTACAGGGACCTTAAATGAATCAATAAAATCACTGCAATATTCTATTTCATCTAGTTAGGAATTCTTCCCCAAACTTTTCATTGTTCTGATCCCCTAGTCTCTGGAACATTCCCCGAAGTGTCACAACAGTCACTAGATTCATTTAGGTGAAGTTGTCCTGACTCCAGGGCACATTGAATAGGGTGCCATCACCCTGGTTTTCAAAAGTGGTTTTCAGTACTGGGAAAGTACTAGGATGGCAGTTTCTTTGGGACAAAGTAGCCAAGAAAAGTTGCTGGGGTAGCACAAAATATGCTAGCTGTTCAGCACTTCAGATGGTGTAGTGGAGAAGAGTGGGGTGGATATCCGGGGGCCAGCTGGGGTTAATTGCAGCACATGTGCTCAGAATAGAGAGTAGTTGAGTATCTGTCTGTCTGTCTATCTATCTATCATCTATCTTCTATGAGTCTATTATCATCTGTTATCTATCTATCTATCTGTTATGGTTGAATTCACATACATACTTGGTCCCCAGTGTGGCCGTGTTGTGATGGAGGAACCTTTAAAGGTGGAGCCTAGTGCAAGGTCATGGAGGCATCACCATGGGAGGGTTCCATACTGGTTTCACAGAGTGCTTTAGTTCTCATGGGAGCAAATATTACAAAAAGAGCAATCCTGGCCCCTGACCTTGTGTTTCCTGTCTTGCCATGTGATCTCTCCCTCTTGTAACTGTTCCTGCCATGATCCCATATGCCTTGTTGTGCTATAACCAGAAGGCTCTACTACACAGCTGAGCAGATGTTGACACCATATTCTTGAATCTCCAGAACTGTGAGCTAAATAAACCTCATTTCTCTGTAAAGTACCCAGCCTCAGCTATTTTGTTACATCTATAGAAAATAGATTAAAATTCTATCTCTATGTATCCATCCATCTGTCCATCATTCCATCTGCTTATTAAACTCATACATTACAAATTCAGTTATTTTGTATATCAAATGAAGTTCTGAATGTACAGAGGGCCAGTTCAACCTGCCCATGCAGTAGTTCCTGACCTGCATCTTGCCCATCCTCAAGTCTGAATTGTGCCCAGCTCCACTTGTTGGATTGTGTCCTAGCAGTGGAGATGGAGCTCACAAGCCTGTGCCAGTGCACAACTTGTAGGACTCAGGGCTACAAGAGTAGCACTGTCTGATAAAGACAGAGGCAGGCTTGTAGCTGAGGTGCCCTGGCACCTGGGTATGCACAAGGGACCACAGGACATGGCTAATCCCCTTTCCTTCTGACAGACGGCAGGATGGCCCTCCTTGTCAGAGCTTGGTGCTCTGACACCAAGCTCAGCCTCTCAGGTGTACTTAGCCATGAAGGAAAGGTGCCAATGGGAAGGAGAAAGCACTGTTGCAAGCTTCCAGTTCACAGGACCTCTTCATGGAATGGAGGCAATTTTCATTTTTCTGAGTTTGAGTAGCTGAGTGCATGGCTCAAGTGACAGAGCATCCATCTTGCAAATGTCAGGCCCTGAGTTCTAACCCAAGTACCACCAAAAAAAGAAGAATAGATAAAGTGAAAAGATCAAGTGACCTTGACTTATCATCATCATCATGAGAAATGGACATTTTTTAATCCCCTTCCACTCCATGGGAAACACTGTGAAGCACTTGACAATGAGCCTTGGTCTCTCCTCCGATCTCTTCAGACTCTGGGATCAGGCAAGAGGGTCTGCTTGCTGGTGGTTTCTAAACCCTACCCAGGTGCTTATCTGGGTAGATCTTCACCACAGATGCGTCTACCAGATGCTTGGCTATGCTCCCTGGCCCCAGGAGCTTTGTTTGTCTTATTTATTTGAGGCTCCGGCATCTGCCTGTCTTTCAATGCTGGTACCATGGCTTTGACTTGTTAAGTCTTTGAGTTCCATATTACTCAGATCCTAGATATCAGGCAAAACCTAAACTGCAATGCTGAACTCTGAATGTGAATCACACATCTGGGCTTAAGTCATCCATGGGAGGTTGTGGAGCCTGGGAAGCTAGAAGAAGCCCCATTGCTCAGTAACATTTGCTTTGAAGTACGATGCTTACTAGGCAGACTTATTTTTGTAGATATTTACATCATATTTCCATACTTCAGACGCTTGAATAGTGTGAGGAGTTAGCAGATCTGAGAAACCCTTTTAGGAGGATCCTAAACACAGAGGAGCCAATAGGTATGACCCAGCCTTCTGCTCCCAGGTCAGAGTTACAGGTGTGTCCTTGGTCCTAGGGTGGCCACCTCTAGCCATGAGCTGCCTCATTCTTTACCCAGCATGCTGAAGAGATATTTGTACTTTCTGTGTACAGAGGAAGGAGGCACACATTGCCCTAGACTGCACAGGCAAGAGTGCCCAGTGTTTCTGGGGGACTGAAGAAGGCCACACTGTGACCCTCCCTGCTGAACTTCTGCTGACATCTTCCTGGGTGTGCCAGTAGACAAACCCTTCTCTGGCTGGATGCTGCTGTAGCTTTGTTCATGGGCTGTGTGCTTTGCCTGTCAAAGAGCAGGTGTGCTCTGGGTTCTGGGATCCAGTATGACTATGTTTAGGATACCTCAGAAAAACCTGTATATTTAGAAAGTGATCCTGGGCTGTGCATGGTGACTTACACCTGAAATCCTAGCTACTTATGAGGTTGATATTGAGAGGATTGCAGTTCCAGGCCAGTGAAACTCCATCCCAACAGAAAAAAAGCTGAGCATGGTGACATTTACCTGTCATCCCAGCAACAGCAGGAAGTTTAAAATAGGAAGATTGAGGTTCAGGCTGACCTGGGCAAAAACAAGACCCTATCTCCAAAATAACCAGAAGAAAAAGGGACTGGAGCTGTGGCTCAAGCAGTAGAATGCCTGCCTAACAAGTATGAAGCCCTGAGTTCAAACCCCACTACTGACAAAATATGTAATCCTGGGAATCTACTTCTAGTAACAGCAAGCTTGTTGACCAAGAGCAGGGAGAATATTCCATGGAAAAGGAAACAGTTTTTTTCCTGGCTTCTTGCCATAACCAAGTGGGGAACTGAGTCAGCTGACCTGTCACCACTGGAATCTCTGATTGTAGAGAACAAGTGGGGTGGGGTGGGGGTGGCAGCACTTTACTCTGTGTGATTGCTCTAATTAGCTTCCCTAAGAACTAAGAAGTTGTTTGGTTATTGTGTTTTTTGACTGAATGAATAATAGAATTTCAGAGGTGAGATGGAGCCTATTAATTTTCTCAATCATCATTGCCTTTCATAGGTGAAGTGGCTGAGCCCCTGGAGCCTAAAGTCTCCCCCCAGCATTTGCCAATTCTCAGGGTTGGGCGGTGGGGCTCTCACATGCAGCCATGCAATGAGCTCAGTCCAGATGTCTCCCAGCAGGAAATAACTTCACGCTTTGCATTCTGATTTCGAATGATGGTGTCTGGATGGATGTTCCATTTTTGCTTAAGTGTCTTTAGAAGGCTTTTCTTTCACAGGGTTCTTGAGAAAATGTATTAAAGGCTGCCGGCTCTGTATTGCACACATTCCTTGGGGAGAAGGGCTATAAGTGAGTTAGAAAAGCAATAAATAGATGTGCACATGCCAGGGAGGCAAGCAACTAACTCTTCCTTCACTTGCCCTGTGTAATACAGAGAACTGTCCTTTTATTGTACGAGGCACCTGGCACCTATTTCTGACATTTACAATATCCCTGAGAGGTAGAAGTTATTGCCGACACTCCAATTTACAATTTTTAGTCTTTACAATGGTTTGAAAGTGTGCACATTCACTTCAAATTTTGAATTTTGATCTTTTCCTTGGCTATCTATACAGGACAACCATTCTGTTTTTCCCTTTGAATACAGTATTCAATAAATTGCATGAGCTATCCAACACCTTATTATAAAATAGGCTTTGTGCAAGATGATTTTTGCCTAACGTCAGTCCCAGGAGTGGTTAAGGAAGGCTAGGCTGTTATGATGGTCAGTAGGTTAGGTGTATTTAATGCATTTTTGACTTATGGATTTCTCACTTATGATGGGTTTTGTTGGGATGCAACCCCAATGTAAGTGAAGGTTTGTCTGCATTCCCATTTCACAGGTTAAGTAACTTGTTCAAGTGGTGGAATTCTGGTTTATCTGAGTAAAACCACCAGGTTATCTGGGTAAAGACATCAATTTGTATTGCAAAGTTCTATTACAGCCATGTGACCCACATTCCAACTCTGCCCAAACTTCCCTTGGCCTGGGCCGGTGAGGCCAAACCCTTGTCTACCTGCAAAACTCTCCTTCTGATTCTGGCAGCATGAGTGAGGCCCTGGGGTTCTTCAGCAGATCAGCCACCACAGGGTCCTTGGCTGTCATGTAGAAGAAAGGAATCCCAGTGCTGTTGTTGAAGGGGCCGTCGCTGATGGCCACACAGCTCCCGAATGGTAGTCCTTGGATCTAACAAACACCAAAAAAGACCTTTTCAGTGGCAGAGTTGTGGATTGACATGAGCTAGGCACTTAACCTGTATCTGGCCAGGAAATACAGCACTGGGGGACTGGTTTTGACAGGGAGTAAATTAAGGCCAGGTGGTCCCAATCTATCTGGTCCACCCAGTGGTAGCTCCAAAATTTCTCTCTAGGAGATGCTCAACAGTGACAACCTATGTGAAAGTTAGAAGATTATTCTCAAAGCTGCCTGTTCATAGCAAATTCATTCACTTTATTGAATTTAGTGTCATTTTGGGGCCAATGAAATTTATTGATTCTGGGGGTAGTGTTAGGCCTTTTCTGCAAGCTTCCCTTCTGGGAGAGGCCTTATTGTCTCCCCAAACTTTACATAACTTTGGGGATAGATTTTAATTATTCACTTTAACGTCTTGTTTGGCCTTCAGATGCCAGGGACCTTCTCTTATTATTTCTTTTATACTTTCTCACTTACTAGTTACATTTTTTACTATAATTGATAGTTTTTCATTCTATAACAGCAAATTGTGGGAAATTGATTTGTTACCCATTTAGCATAAAGGAAGTCACAGAAATGTGATATATCAATTTTTGCTCATGACCATTAAGCAGGGTGGGTGAATGGTAATATATCGTGTTTCTGTGACTTTGAACACAGACAAAAATGTTTAAGTCTTAGGTTTCCCCAAATCCTGTTGGAGTAACATGATAACCTTTCATGAGCTGTATGCCTTACAAAGAGCACCCTGTTGTTACTTAGCTCAGAATTTGGGCCATATTTGTTTTTGACATTGTCACATGGCAATGGTGTGTACATATGTGGAAGGGAGGACTTCAATCTCTAAGAATATAAAAGGTTAAGGAGTCCTCAAAAATGATAATATAACACCACTGACAGACTCTGGACAAAGCATGTCATTAACTACCCAGTGTCATGCTTTGCACACAAGCAAATGTTTTCTGAATTTATTGACTTTGGATTAAATGTCAATATTGGAAAGAAGAACTCTTAACAAAGGTAAGAAAAATGTTTGTTGCAAGTCACAATATCTTTAATACATTGGCACTAGACTTTTAATTGTTTGAAAAGATTTGTTTTAAACCAAGATTAGCTTTGTATTTAAACTTTGGGTTTTCTTAAGGTAAGACATAACTGTAAAAAACCATGTGGGTGCTGTGAATATCCCAACTGGCTGAGAATCTGACACGATAGAGGTTAAGATCATTTCCATAATCAGAATAAAATTATCATTTAGACAGAAAAAAAAAAGACCTTCAAAACTGCCTAGCCAACTACTTAATTTTATAAATGAAGAAAAAGCGGAGAAGCCAGTGACTTGCCCACAGTCTGGAGCTAGCCTGGGGAAAGAACCCACCCTCTGGTCAATTCTTTTTGCATGAACTACATAGGAGTTCAAATGACCGCCCTGCGGCAAACCCCTCCGCCAGCTTAGCAGCTCTGAAAGCATTCTGGACTGTTTCCCTATGGAAGTTACATCGTCTTGCTTATCCATTCCATCCCAGAAGGAAGCAAGTCTAACAGGTGAAACGTTTGCGGGCTGATAAAAACTGCAGCTCCTAACAGTCCCTTCCAGCACGGATACACTTCACATACAAGCCTCCTTTCCAGAAAAATTTTTAAGTTCCATTTTTTGAATGCAAATTTCCACCAAAGCGCCGGCGGTGTCTGTCCCCATCCCTGCTTGGATTTGATTCTGTAGCAGGAGGTGATGCTAAGTCTATTGGACCGTGGGAGCAGAGACTATATGTGCCTACGCTGCCATTGAAAAGGCAACTCTGGCTTCTTTTGTCCAGGTCTCTGGTAATTTGTGCACCTCTTTGACCATCTCAAGATAGGTCTCCAGCCACCTGGCAGGAAGTCAGCTTTTCAGCGTCCCCCGCCCGCCCTCCACTCCCACGCACATGCATTTTGCCAGTTTAACCCATCCAAGCACAGTCTGGTTCCGTTATTTGCAAGGCGCTTGAGGTCCAGCTCAGCTAGCTGGTCAGATCTGAATACGTGAGCCGTCGCCAGCATCGCCTTGTCTCCTGTGCGCGCCGCCTGGTCGCCAGGCCACCCGGAGGCGTGCACCTGCAACCCTCGCGCCGCGGGTGGCTTACCTTCTCGTGGGCGGACACGGTGGCCAGACAGCCCCAGGCGCTGGCGTGGGCCAGGGAGCGCGCAGTACCCGCGCACAGCCTCGGGCTGGGGGGCGTCCCGGTCGCGGGGCCGCTCTCCCGCCGGTAGGAGAACATCCCGCGCGGTGCTGGGGGCGGCCTGGCGCGGGCAGCGCCCGCCTGGGGCCGCAGGTGCGGGTCCTCCTTGTGCGCCGAGGCCGGGAAGCTCTGCTGCCAGATGCTGCCCGAGTCCTCCAGCAGTGCGGGCAGCGCCTCCTCGGTGGAGGCGCTGTCCAGCTCCTCGTCCACCTCGTTGGTGACCGCCCAGGACACGGAGCTTACGATCACATACCCGGCGGCCGGGGACAGTAGGACGCTGCAGCACAGCAGCCACGAGAGGCGGGTCCCCGGCTGCGCCGACTGCTCACCGCGGCACACGGACATCTCGCAGGTGGCTCGCCCAGCCGCGGGGACCGCGGGGACCGCTAGTAGGGTGCGGGCCTCCAGTGAGGGCGGCAGCGCCCCCCTGCGACGGAGCTCAGAGCTGGACCCACACCCTCTTCTGACCACCGCAGAATTCCAAGGTGGGGTCCCTTGGACCAGTCCTGGGATGCCCTTACAGTCCTAAACCGGGTTGAGAAAACGAGGCTCCTGGAAGACCAGGTTCCACCCAAAGGCTGCACGGACTGAAGCTGCTGCGTGTAGTCCTCATTGCGTGCCAGGTCCGGGGATTCATTGGCTTCCTGCAGGATGGCACAGGCTCTGCAGCCAGAGGGTGGGGATTCAAGTGGCAGCTCGATACAGTCCTCTGCACAACAGCTGTGTGTCCTGCCAAGCCACTTAACCTCTTTGTGCCCCTTTTCCTTCATTAGGAATTGAAGATAATATCTACTTCTTGGGATTGATGGATGGGGAAGGTTAAATTAATTAGTTTCCAAGTGGTTCAGAACAGTGTGTCTTGTAGCAAACGCTATATTTTGCTAGCTAGACCCAAGGTAGGGATTTTTATGACCATGACATTATGGATAAGAAAACCGATGGGTTGGCAGAGTGGCTCAAGAGGTAGAGTGCCTGCCTAGAGAACTGAGTAAGGTGAAGGTCAGATTAGTGCCAATTCTGTCTAATGCCAAAGCTCCTTCTCTTTCTCTATAAGGACAATGATCATCTTACATTTTGCTATGTCAGGAAGACCTTGCCTCCAATTCACTGCAAAGCAGAACGGATTAATTACGTGAAGATAAAATAAAGGGGAGTCAGCCTCCTGAGTAGGGGTGAAGAGGAAGAGTGGAAAGAGTGGTACACTGTACTATGCTATTGTTTGGATATGATTTGAGAATCCCAAGTCACCATGTGTTAAAATTTAGCCTCTTAGTGAGAAAACTGAAGCCAGCAGGGGTGTTCAGAGTGGGGCCTTTGGGAGGTATTAGGGTTAGATGAGGACATCAGGATGGAGCCCCAGGATTGAATCCTGGTGGCTTTATAAGAAGAGTCAGGGACCAGACACACATGCACAAGCTCCTTGTTGCTTGCACTGTGCCACCTTGCTGGCAGAATCAGCCACCACCAGGTACATCTTACAGCCCCAGAACTGGGAACCAAAATAAATTTCTTTTCTTTTTAATGTACTCAGTCAGTAGTATTGTGTGATTGCCAGCAGAAAAACGGACCACAATTATAAACATCTTCTTTTTGATGGACATTTGAATTGTTTCCAGTAAGTCTTATAGATATCAAAATAATTTTAAATTAATTATGGTTGCTTACCTTTGCTTATGACATCCACAATCTATCCCACTAGGAAACATTTTCTACCTAAATTACAATAGTCCTGCTTCAAATTTGTTCTGGATGAAAATAACTTGAAATAGCACTTGGTTTTTTTAAAGTGTTTTGGCAAATGATACCAAAGTGCTAATTGGATAATCCATTGTCTGCCCTCACTTCCTCTCTACCTACTTCCTCCTCTCCCCTTCCATTTAAAGCCAGTTTTCTTAAGAAAGGCTGCTTCGTGTTCTGGAGGTAGTCCAAGCTCTGATGGGCCCCCAGCATCACCTCTGCTGCATCTCCAGGATGCCCACTTTCTGGTCGTTATGTTACTACAGCATCCTGCAACCTCAGGTGCAGCTCCCCTCTCTCCTCCTGAGGATCTTTTCTTAATTCTCTGGATGTACCTTCTTTTCAGACCCTCTTCTCTGTCTGCTCTTAAACATTAATGTTCTCTGGAGAGTTGTCTTAGTCTTTCCTGCTTCTCTTGCCAATCTAAACTTTCAGTTTAGCACTCCTTTTTCTCTCCCCTTGCCCCTGGAATGATGTGTCCATTAGTCTTGAGAGGCAATACAGTATGTCATTAAAACCACGCACCCTGGATTATTTGAACTATTATTTGATTCATCTGCTCTGCTACCTCATGGCTGTGTGATAGTGGTATGTCTGTCATTTGATTCTTCTGTCTTCATTTCCTTGTCTGCAAAATGGTGACAGTCACATATCCCTCAGGAGGTTGTGTGATAGTGATATGTCTGTCATTTGATTCTTCTGTCTTCATTTCCTTGTCTACAAAATGGTGACAGTCACATATCCCTCAGGGGGTTGTGGATGTCAGATGTGTTGGACTTGGTGTTGGGGGAATGTTCTTTGCTTTTCACACAGGAGAAAGACTGTCCATTCCAATCTCTGGAGAGGGAAATTTTGGAGGACTATTATAGGCTTTCAACTATCCTCTTACTCCTTTTTCCTGTGGAAGGAGGAGTGGATGAATTTGAGAAGAGAAACTTCCCATGCTTTCTCAGTTCCTAAAAGGTTATTATTTTTTAATGAGCTGTCTACACTTCTCTTTCTGCCCCACCTAAGCTGGCCAGCTGTGGTGCATGGGTGCGTGGCTGCCCTGTTCTGTCCGTGACTAAGGGAGTAAGTTCAGCTGGAGTCCTTAAGAGATGTCCTAATTGGACAAAATGTCTCAGGTCACCTTATTTTACTAAGTTTCCTGATTCTTGTTTCGATTTTCCAAATTAGACCCAAACTCAAAGGGAGTTAAGAAGATGGACAATAATCACCTTCCAAACCCCACCACACAATGTGCCAAGACATGAGACATACTTGTTTGATACATGACAGCCATTTTTATCTGGCTTGGCCATTTACTGCAAATAGCTAACAGTTCCCTCATACTCAACTTTTAGGAGATCATTTTCTATGGATTTCTTGCATAGCTATGGAGTCCAGACCTGTTTGAAGAGTCTTTAAAAGCTAGAGACAGTGTAGCATTCTTGAGCTATTTAGAGACCTACTAGAGACCTATCCCAGTTAGTAAAGAAGAGGGTATGAGTGAATTTATTTTATTACATGATGTCAACCTAATTTAGAAAGCAACTATACAAATGGGTACTATCAGAGTATGAGATTCCTGTTTTTCCATATTCTTAACTCAGACAATTAAGTTTTTTAAATTTTATTTGCACCTTATCCCCCAAACTGGTAGATTAAAAAATGCTATTGTCTGATGACCAATATACTAGATCATTTTTCTACATTTATCAGCCAGTTAGGTCTTCTGTAAAATGCATGTTACTGTCCTTTGCCCATTTGTTTTTACTGTGGTAAAAACACATAACATGAAATCTACTGTCTTAACAATGCTGGTTAGGTACAGTACAATATTGCATCTATATGCACATCTTCATCCTGCCTGACTGAAATTCTGGGTCCACTGAACAGCAACTGCCCAGCCTCTGGCAATCACCATTCTACTTTCTGTTCCCATGAAGTTGACTCCATTTGAAAGCTCAGATAGTGTTCTTCTGTAGCTGGATTATTTCACTCAGCATAATGTTCTTAAGGTTCATCTGTGTTGTAACTTAAAACAAATTCACTTCTTTTGAAAGGTTAACTTCCATTGTATGTGTCTGCCACATTTTCTTCATCATCCATCAGTGGAGTGTTTCTACTTCGTGGCTATTGGGAATAATGCTGTAATGAACATGGAAGGGTCTACAACTCTTCAAGAAGTTCTTCAGAGAAGAACGAAATGTTATCATTCGCTGGTAAATGGATGGAATTGGAGAACATCATTCTGAGTGAGGTTAGCCTGGCTCAAAAAACCAAAAATCGTATGTTCTCCCTCATATGTGGACATTAGATCAAGGGCAAACACAACAAGGGGATTGGACTATGAGCACATGATAAAAGCGAGAGCACACAAGGGAGGGGTGAGGATAGGTAAGACACCTAAAAAACTAGCTAGCATTTGTTGCCCTTAACGCAGAGAAACTAAGGCAGATACCTTAAAGCAACTGAGGCCAATAGGAAAAGGGGAACAGGTACTAGAGAAAAGGTTAGATCAAAAAGAATTAACCTAGAAGGTAACACCCACGCACAGGAAATCAATGTGAGTCAATGCCCTGTATAGCTATCCTTATCTCAACCAGCAAACCCCCTTGTTCCTTCCTATTATTGCTTATACTCTCTCTACAACAAAATTAGAGATAAGGGCAAAATAGTTTCTGCTGGGTATTGAGGGGGGGGAGCGGGAGGGGGCGGAGTGGGTGGTAAGGGAGGGGGTGGGGGCAGGGGGGAGAAATGAACCAAGCCTTGTATGCACATATGAATAATAAAAGAAAAATGAAAAAAAAAAAAGTTCTTCAGAAATCTTGGATACATACCCAAGATTTCTAGATCTTATGGTAGTTCCAGTTTTCATTTTTTGAGGAACCTCCATACTGTTTTCCATAGCTGCTGTACCATTCAACATGCCTACTAACACAGGCTCTCAGTTTCTCCACACCCTTTCCAATACTTATTATCATCTGGTTTTGTTTATGTGTTTGTTTTTAAATAAACAGGTGTGAAATGATGTCATGGTGTTTTTTATTTGCATTTTCTTGACGATTAGTGATGTTGAGCATATTTTCATGTACCTGTTGGCTGTTTGCATATATTCTTTGGAGAAAATTTCTTTGCCCATTTTTAAGTCAGGTTTTATTGTTTTTGTTTTAGGGGTACCTTACATATTTTACATATTGGCACATTATCAGACATATATTACATGTCTGTATCCTGTAAGTTTTGGCATGTTGTATTTATTTTGGTTTGTCTCAAAGTATTTTCTAATTTTTCTTTTGATTATTATTCTTTGACATATCAATTTTCAAGAATGAATATTTTCCACATATTTTTCAATTTTCTAGTTTTCCTTCTGTTATTAATTTCTAGTTTCATCCCATTGTGGTTAAAAAAAAGCAAGATGTAATTTCAATCTTCCTAATTTGTTAAAACTTGTTTTGTAACTTACAGCTTGTTTTGTTCCTCTTTTCCTCTCCTATTGTCCTATTTTGTGTGTCATTGATTTTTTTGTAGTGATGTACTTTGATTCCTTTTTCATTTTCTTTTATATATCCTCTATATGTATTTTCTTTGTTATTATCTCGAATATTATGTAAAACATCTCATAGTTATAATAATCTGTTTGAAACTGGTAACAACTAGTTT